ATATATATATATATATATATATATATATCTCTCTCTCTCTCTCTCTCTCTCTCTCTCTCTCTCTCTCTCTCTCTCTCTCTCTCTCTCTCTCTTCATTCCAACCGATTTTGGCGTGTTGTTGTTCACACGACATCTGACCTCTCCGTGTTTATCTGCTGTTCGTCAGCTGTTCGTTTCTGACGTCTATCTCGGCCGGTGTTCCTTGCGATCCTTCCTCTCGCGTCCTTCCTCGACACGTCATGCAGCGAGCTATAAGATAAGAATAAACACAGCGAGCGAAAACCGAAATCGGGACAGCAACAATTTCTTATAGAGAGCGAGAGTTAAAGTTCCTTACCCGAGTGCCTTTTCCTATGACTGTCGGCGAGAGCGGTGTTCTTAGATCTGTCCCTCGTGGTCCCTCGTCGTCCTGCTGACTTCTATTTCTCCAGGTCAGCGCAGGGAGCTTGGGGCACACTGTTTTAGGGACGCTAGGACTAGACCACTATTCTGACATCCTAGTTCACGAACCTTCTCTAATTATTTTCAATGTCTTTTGGCTTCGCTCTCGATATTCGCGACCCGAGACGCGGAGCGCACGCAAAATTTGGTGAGCGGAGTCGCACCCCTTGTGACGGGCGCTTCTCGGGGCCGCCACGTCACAGTATATATACGAACTTTCGGGATAAATTTCATAATATGTGCAAAATCTACGGTATGCATGCAAAATATGATATACGGTGTGCGATATCCTGAGAATATCCTTATAATATCCTTAGAATATCCTTATAATATTGTAACGCTACTCTCGCGGCTCGTGCAGTCGGCACACGAATCGGGTGCAGCGACAAAATGATATTATTTCACTTCCGGGTCAGCTTTCACCGTTCGGCGGATTTCGCGAGACCCGACAGCTCACACGAACTAAAAGAAATCGCTAACTGGGCGCCAGGTACGGCGATCCGTACCCACTAAAATAATCGTACACTAAACGCTAAAAGGTTGGTCTCGCCGAAGAGTAGCACTCGTCGTCCGCCCGAACTGCTGACCAAAACGTCCGGCAGCTCAGCCCTCCTCACGGCAGAGGGGTTGGTTCGCTCGAAGTCGGAGGTGCAAGGAAAGAACGGCGACTAGGTTAATTAAATAAGCCGAAATATCTGGAGACAACGTTTATTGTTCGTTCCCGTTACACAAGTATTAATCGGCAGCAAATATATTATGATAACAAAGTTAGTCTTTGTTCGCGATCGCGACAGAGAAATTCGGCAGCGCGAGTTATCGTCGTGACCGGCGGAGGTCACGACCGCCACGTACGCGTTCGGCGGTGTGGTCGCGTCGACGGTATAACCGGCGGATGTTCGGCGGTTTTGCTACGTACAAATGAACCCGTGAGCTTGTCCCTCGAACGCGCGAGAGGGACGCGAGCCCTTGCCCTCGTCCAGGAGGACGGCCGGGTCTCCGCTCGTCAACGCCTCACCCGCTCCGTGCCACGAAAAATCACTAAAATATCTAATCCTCGTTCCTCTTGGAACGGACTCACCAAGTCGAGCGGAGCGGGGGCGGTCGGCAGCTGGCCTCGGCGGTCCCTCTGGACTCACACTAATTTGACCCTGGATCGCAGCGGCCTTACGGTCGTCGGTCGAGTCGTCGGTGCTTCGTCGTAATATCCTCGGCTCCACGGATGGCGCGTCCTTCACACTCAGTACCGTATTGCTGACGAGATCGGTGACAAAAGCTCTCGAACGGTCGTTGTCTTCCCGTTTTATCTCAGGTTTTTGAACTCGCTTCCGACAGCTCTTGATGGCTCATTGGCGGGATCTTTCCCCCGTTTTCCGATCTCAGATTTTGCACAGCTGTTTTCATTATGTCGGGCTTTGGAGCTTCCTTGTCCATCTGACCTTGTCTTTAGCTCCTTTGCGGCAGCCGTTGTTTGTGTCGATCCACGAGCTCCGCGGCGTCCTCGCTCGGATCGGAGGACGCTCCGGGTCGCGGAGGATGTGCTCGCCGATTTCCTTCGGCGGCAGCTATCCTCCGCTCGTCCGCGGTGTCGATCCACTCCGTCCTCGCGGCTTCCTAGCGACAGCTCGTGATCGCTCCCCTTCGGCAGCTTCGCCTCGCCGTTCAGGATGTTGCTGAAAACAGTTGCATGTTAGGTTTTCCACCCTGTGGGTCCCTACTGAGTCGTATTATTAACGGAAGCGGTTCACCTGGAGCAGCGAGTCTTGCGGCCGTTCTTCTCGCAGGCTTTCTCTCTCCCACGGCGGCAGCAGTCCTCCTTGCTGGTGGCTTCTTCTTCTTGACTCAACCTCGATGACCGTATTTATTCACAAAATATATAATTCGAGGGCTGCGTACGCTCGCGTCCTAATCGCCTTACGGCTAGGACGCGACATCCGCCTGCAGCCGGGAAGCGCATAATGCTTCCTTACTATAGTCGACGAGTGACGGACGATAGTTACTAATCGTCACGTCACAATATATAGAAATGTTCGTATCCATATACTGCCTACGATATCCTCAGTATATTCTCAGAATATTACGTATATATTCGTAATACTCCCATTCGCAGGAGATTTCGTATAAATTTAGAATATACAGAGAATATCATGTGCTATCTGGGCAGTAGCTATTGAGTGGATATAGATGTCTTACATATCCATTAAATGTCTAGTAGATATTCATTGTAAATATGGACATTATATGGATATGTACATATCCACTATATATCTATTAGATATTTTGTTCTGTATGGATAGTAATATTACTGATGATATAGTCTACATTAAATATAGTAATTATTAAAATTATTATTCTCTAACTCTCGCTCTCGCTTTCCCTTTTAAGAAACACTAATCAACGTTTAAAGCAAAATTATCGTAATTTATTAATAATAATAATGACGAACCTCAAGTTACAGGATTCATTGCACAAAAATACAGGCGGCATTCCATTCGCGAATAAGTTCTCTTTGAAACGCCTCATAGCAGTACATTGTGGATTAAACTAGATGAATCTTTTGCTTATATCAACGAAGTCAGACAACGTATGACACAGTGTCTTTGAATTTTGCTCCAGCGAAGAGCTATAAGATAATTGCCGCCTTGTCGAGCGCTGGTGATTAGAAGGAAGCTTATAATTTTTCGAACCTTTTGATAAACAAAACTACGAAGATAATTTCATATGAGTATAAATTGCCGCGACATTAACAGATAAAACCCGTTATTTACTTTTTATGATAGGACAAGTAGAAATTTTGTGTCATCATGTATGGATAGTAATATTACTGATGATATAGTCTACATTAAATATAGTAATTAAATTATTATTCTCTAACTCTCGCTCTCGCTTTCCCTTTTAAGAAACATTAATCAACGTTTAAAGCAAAATTATCGTAATTTATTAATAATAATAATGACGAACCTCAAGTTACAGGATTCATTGCACAAAAATACAGGCGGCATTCCATTCGCGAATAAGTTCTCTTTGAAACGCCTCATAGCAGTACATTGTGGATTAAACTAGATGAATCTTTTGCTTATATCAACGAAGTCAGACAACGTATGACACAGTGTCTTTGAATTTTGCTCCAGCGAAGAGCTATAAGATAATTGCCGCCTTGTCGAGCGCTGGTGATTAGAAGGAAGCTTATAATTTTTCGAACCTTTTGATAAACAAAACTACGAAGATAATTTTATATGAGTATAAATTGCCGCGCCATTAACAGATAAAACCCGTTATTTACTTTTTATGATAGGACAAGTAGAAATTTTGTGTCATCATGTACCGCGAAACACAAATGATAAATTGACATCTTACTTCTGTCAATATTCTTAGTTCCTATTGTACATAGAAAAATACCTCCGCTTGTGTCGCATGACAACATATAATATATTAAAAACAACCAAGAAGATACATAGCAATTCTCACGGGAAATAATAGCTATAGATATTTGACTGGGAAACTTTGAGTCACGATAGAATAGACCTGCATGTCTATAAGATTGGAACGAAACACGCGCGTTAGAAGGGCTGTAGATCATAAAGTTGGGAACGCACAAGACCACTAACATTGCCCTCGCGTGTCCAAGTGAATTCTATATAGAAATCATAAGCGTCCGAGGAGAATTATAATCCCCCAAGTCAACATTTTTCACGTTGTTGCGAACATGGATTTCCAAAACGTGAACCCCTTGAACGTTCACACGAACTTTATTTCGGGCAACCTGCTACCCTTGGCACCAGGTGTCTCGCAATTTTCGATAATGTGGAAACTGTTCAGCATTTTGATGTGGCTGCTTCAAGCGATTCAAGTATCCGTGATGATTCCTGGCCTTTTTATAGTGCCGTGGGAGAGCGCTTTGTTAGCCAGCACGATCACCAGTGTGAACACTATCGAAGTATTCTTCATGGTCGGACGAATTCTCGCGCGCAGGAAACTGGTGGACCGACTAATCAGTAAACTTAACGAGATCCTGCATGTCGAGGACGAAACCATGAGGAACATCGTGACGACTACATTGAAGCCCATGAATACACCGCTCAAATTTTACTGTTGGTCGGGTGGTCTGTCCATACTCGTCTGGTTTTCCATTCCATTTTTACTAATCTCTGAAAGAAGCTCCTTTTTTTACGAGGACTTTAAGTTGCCAGCGGTCTTCTCCAAGCAGCCGTTTTCAACCCAGGTCTTTCTGCTAGGCAATTTGTTCCTAATAATCGGTAATGTCCATATTTTTCTCAAGAAATGCGGCGTGGACATTTACATGATACACCTCGTGCTGCTGATAACGTCACAATATCGTTATATCTCTACAAGACTCACCACGACATTTCAAGACGCGAATCTGCAGAGCGAAGTCGAGGGCTATAGTCCCGAAACAAATCGATGGACAGATAGCACGTTAAGAGCGCTGTGCCAGCATCACGTTACTGTCATACGGTAAATACTGTATTTATTTTAATTCTTATATTTTATACATATATGTAAAAAAAGCAAACGGAAACTTTTACTAAACTTAATACTAAAAATATTGGTTCATAATTTCAAAGTGCATTTCTCATTTTTCGAATCTATTACGCATACATATTTATATGTTACGAACTTATACATTCTCTTCTCAGAAAAAGTTGAAACGGAAAGAAAATTCGATTTCTTTTGTATCACGTATTTGTGAGATATTACCGCATTCGCCAGCACGGTTTATTTGAGTTCTCTTCACAGACCACATTACATTTGTTTTCATGTAATAATGTGAAATAAGCTTGGTTTGATAATATATGACTATATAAATAAAAATATCGTGTCACACACATGTGACGTTAGTAGCGAACATGTTAAGTAAAATTGAAAATTTTGAATGTCGCACATGATGCTGAAACATGTCAAATTAAGTTCGTTTTCATAAAAAATTTATTTCATAAATTTCCAAGTTAAATGTATGCAACGAAATCCAAGTAACTTGGATGTATATATCGGAGCTCTATTTTAGCTTATCGTCTGTGCTGAAGGAACTGCTGTCTTTGAGCTTCACTATGATTTATGTGAACAGTGTCTTGCGCTTTTGTTTTATTGGTGTTCTGTTGAGCAGAGTAAGTAGTATAGAATTAACGCTAATTATTCTGTATTTTATTTGCTGCCAAACGGTAAATATCTTTATTCTTATTCATACGAATTAGATGAATTATGTTTGTTTGTAACAATAATAACACGCACGAACAGTATAATAAATCGAATAATAAATCTTTTCTCATATACCTACAGGTGCTATCGACTACTTTACTGGAGGGTTTCCTAGTCATGATGTTTACGTGCGGTTGTGTAGTGCAATTTTACATATTATGCTTTTGCGTGCAACAATTGCAGGACGCGGTAAGATTTCGCGTTGTTCCCCTTACTGAACATAACTACTTTTGTAAATGGCTATCATTGTAGCTTCAAATCGATTTGCCCGATACTCTACGACGACGAAATTATTATTTGCGACCTGTTTCTTATGGACACCCTAGTTTTTCCTCAATTGTCCTTCAAACGCGAATTCTGGCGTCCAAGCAGAGGGCGCAAAATCTATTATAACTGCTGAATCACGCGTTTTGATGATTCGCGAGCCCACCCCGGACATCAGGCATGACTCGGTGTGTCCACAAAATTTTCTCGCGTAAGATACCACAGCAGGCTCCAGTAGCTCTAGGTTATTTTAAGATTTATATTACTAATATTATCGAGAAAAGAGAGCGATCGTCTCGGGAGTAACCAGGAAATACATTTCTCCCCTTCTGTTTACTTCCTTGTCCTTTGTCCCGCTTGGCGTGTTCCGCGATTTATTCTGTTCCTGTGTCTCACGTTTGACAATTGCGGTATTTGTCCGAGAGGATTTGTCGTCTCTCGACATCGGCCTGAGGCCTGTCTGGCCTACGGCGACTTTATCGTAGCCATCCTGTTTTCTGACCCGCCGCTCTCAATTCTTCCGCCATCTACAGCCTCCCTCGCCTCCGACAGCTTCACGATATTTGCGAAACAAGGAACTGGCTACGGTATCGTGCCCTACATTTTGGTATTGTTTAATTACATTAGAGGGGAGTCACCTGATGTTCCCGATCTCCCTCAACTTCTCGCCGGTGGTGAGTCCTTCGTGCGCTTGGCTCCCCTGTCGACTGCAGCTCCTCTTCCTGCCTCGAGTCGAAGAAACACTCACTAATCACAAAAGCAGTTCGCGAATCACTCCTTCTCCCCCTCTTTTTCTCCCCCCCCCCCCCCCCCCCC